ACTAGAACCGGTATTGGTTTTCCGTTTAGAACATCTAAAAACCCTATCACACCGGGTTTGATCAGCTTATCTAAATTCCTTGAGGCTAGAACTTGGCTTTGTTTGCCGTTAAGAACATCTTAAAATGCCTATCAACATTAGTATGGTCAGCTTGAACCGTTTTTTTTTCGTTTAGAATATCTAAAGAGGCACCGTGGGTTTGTTCAGCTTAACTTTATTCATTGAAGCTAGAACCGGGCATGGATGTCCGTTTAGGACATCTAAAAAGGACTATCACCGTCGGTTTTGTCAGCTTCACTTTATTCCCTCAGGCTAGAAGCGGGTTTGGTTTTCCGTTAAGTACATTCAAAATGTCCTATCACCGTGGGTTTGGTCAGCTTGACTGAATTGTCTAAGGCTAGAACTAGGCTTGGTTTTACGTTAAGAAGGACTACCATTGTTTGTTTGGTTATCTTGACCGTATTCCCGTACACTAGGACCGGATATTGTTTTCTTTTAGAACATAGTGAAAAGCCTCACCGTGGGTTTTGTGAGCTTGACTTTATTCCCAAAGGCTAGAAGCGGGCATGAATTTCCGTTAAGAACATCTAAAAAGCTTAATACCATAGGTTTGGTCAGCTTTACTTTATTCCACGAGGCTACAACCGGTCTTGGATTTCCGTTTAGGCCTAAAACCTAGAATTTAATCAGCTTGACTTAATTCTCGAGGAAAAAACCGGTCTAGGTTTTCCTTTCAGAACATGTAAAAAGGTCTATAACCGTTGGTTTGGCAGCTTGACTTTATTTCCAAAGGCTAGAACCGGGCATGGTTTTAAGTTATCAATATTTAACAATGAGTAGCACAGTAAGATAGGTCAGCTTGACTTTACTCTAGAACCGGGCTTGGTTTTCCGTTAAGAACATGTAAAAAGGCTATCACAGTGGGTTTGGTTAGCATGACTTTAATTCCTGGAGCTAGAACCTGCCTTGGTTTTTACGTTAAGGACAGTTTAAAAAGGCCAATCATAGTGGATATGGTCAGCTTGAACTTATTCACTAAGCCTAGAACCTGGCTAAAATTTCCATTAAGAACAACTTAGAAGATTTATCACCTAGGGTTTATTCAGCTTGGCTTTATTCCCTCCAGCGAGAACAAGTCTTGGTTTTCCGTTCAGAACATCTAAAAAGGCCTATCACCGATTTTATTCCCTCAGGCTAGAAACGGGCATTTTTTTCTTGAAGAACATTTAAAAAGGCCTATCACCGTGGGTTTGGTCAGCTCGACTTTTTCCCTATAGCTAGAACTGAATTTATTTCCGTTCAGAACATCAGAAAAGGAAAATCACCGTGGATTTGGTCAGCCTGACTTTGTTCTCTGACGCTAGAACCTGACTTGATTTTCTGTTAAGAGCATTTAAGGCCTATAACAGTGTGTTTGGTCAGCTTGAATTTATTCTCTGTGGCTAAAACCGGGAGTGGTTTTCTGTTCAGGACAACTTAAAAGACCTATCTACGAGGGCTTGTTCGGCTTGGTTTTTTTCCTAAAGCTAAAATCGGACATGGTTTTCCGTTAAGAACATCTTAGAAGGCCGATCACCGCGGGCTGGTCATCTTACTCCCTTTAGCTTGAACTGGTTTTGTTTTCCGTTCAGAACATCTTTTATGGTCTATAGCCGTGGTATGTCAGCATGACTTAATTCTTTGAGGCTAGAACCGGTCTTGGTTTTCCGTTCAGAATATCTAAAAAAAGAGGCATATCACGGTGGATATGGTCAGCTTGACTTTATTCCCTGAAGCTAGAACCGGGCATCGTTTTCCGTAAAGAACAACCTAAAAGGCCTATCACCTTGGGTTTGGTCAGCGTGACTTAATTCCCTAAGACTAGAACCGGGCTTGGTTTTCCGCATATAAAAGGCCTATCACCGTGGGTTTGATCAGGTTTCTAGAACTGGGCTTGGTTTTCCGTTCAGAATATTCCAAAAAGGCATATCTAGGTGGCTTCGGTCAGCTTGACTTTATTCTTTGAGGCTAGAACCGGTCTTGCTTTTCCTTAAAGAACAACTTAAAAGGCCTATCACCGTGGGTTTGGTCAGCGTGACTATAATTCCCTGCAGCTAGAATCGGGCATGGTTTTCCATTAAGAACATCTAAAAAGGCCTATCACCGAAGGTTGGTCATAACGACTTCATTCACAAACGCTTGAAACAGGCATGGTTTTCCGTTAAGAACATCTAAAAAGGACTATGAACGTGCGTTTGAGCAGCTTGACTTTATTCCATGAGGCCAGAACCGGGCTTTGTTTTCTGTTAATAACATCTTACATGGTCTAGCACCGTCGGCTTGATCAGGTCGCCTTTATTCCCAGAGAATAGAACCGGGCATGGTTTTCCATCCAGAACATCTAAGAAGGCCTAACACAATTGGTTTTGTCATGTTGACTGTATTTGCAACTGATGAAAACAGTTATGGTATTCTGTTGAGGACATCTATAAAGGCCTATCACCGTGGGTTTGGTATGCTTGACTTTATTCCCTGAGGCGAGAACCGGGTTCGCTTTTCCGTTTAGAAAACCTTAACAGGCCCATTAACGTCGGTTTCGTCGGCTTGACTTTAATCCCGAAGGCTAGAACTGAGCATGATTTTCCATCTCAAAAGGCCTGTACTAGAGGTTGGAACCGGGTTTGCTTTTCCGTTAAGAACATCTAAAACGCCGAACATCGACGGTTTAGTCAGCTTGACTTGATACCCTGAAGCTATAACCAGGCTAAGTGTTCCGTTAAGAATATGTAAAATTCCGATCAGAAGAGATTACATGTACTTCTGGTGCCGATTTTCGTATTACGCTGTTCGATTTCGCACCGTTTTGTTGCTAAGATAAAGAAATCATTTAACAAAAGAAATAATAAGAAAAAAATATTTTATCAAGATTTCAACAATTAAAACTAACGTGTCGGACTGGATTTGATTGTGTTAACATCAGTGCTCGATTAATCATTCTTGTCATTTAAAAATGACGTCAACACTAGCGTCTTAATGAATGAGTTGGATACTTAGCATGACGTTGTTACGGGATCTTTTTCAGTCTAGAAAAGAAGAAAGGTTACAAGGTATCAAGTCTGGAGAATACGGTGTATGTTTAAGGGCAGATACTCGTTTTTTAGCGCAAAAAAAGATTCAGTAGCTCTTTTGTGTGCAGGAGCGATGACACACAGAACATGCAGGCCTTTCATACATTGTACCAGTTGAAGGACGAATCTTATTGAAGTGTTTTACAAATTTTCGTATCATGACATCTCTGAAGAATTGAATGGGAATTTGGACAACATTTACATGGGTAGTTAACAACAGAAACAACATACATACTCGTAAATCACTCGAATAACATTTTGGTGGCCATAGATTCCTTCGACTTTGAAATTGTAGCCTTATTTGCATAGTGACACAGCTGCTGGAAAGCAAAAGACACTTTTGAATTTTGAAATCCTACAAAAAATGATTAGCGATTTTATCGGTCCAATATTAATGTTAAAAATTATATGAGAAAGTCCCAGACAGGACCGGCATGGGTCCAACTTAATATAACTGAGACTTCTCAAAGTACTTTTAGCTTATCGGCGCCCCAGATATAGAGAGTTTTAAAGTCAAATATATATAATATATATTTTGTTGTTGACAGTACAATTTTAAAATTTCCGATTAGTTATAATATCTAAAACTACTACTTACAATAATATTAAAATCGCTAAAACTTTGAATGTACTATTCCAAATTCAAAACTAGGCATATCAATTAAAAATTACAACATATTATTTTGTATGTTAACATCTAATGTAATCAGAATCAGTGCATGTCGTCATTCAATATTCTAGATGTTTTGTCAAAACAAAGCTCTTATTGTTCATATTTAATGCCGTACATTTTGCGCAGTCAATTCCATAGTGTTTGAAATGCATGTATTATAAATGATGATGCATAACAAACTTCGAAATTATATGAAGTGATAGCAAATCACCTCCCAAATGTATAGTTTTATCACTTCACTGCTTGATTATTATATAGATAACCTCCCAATGGCAAATAAGCAATGGTTAATAAACGTTAACGAAGTTAATTTATAGGCAAAGCTACGAAAGACCGGTGGGGACTTCATGAATTCCCGATAACAACTTCATGAATTCTCGATTTTAACTTCACGAATTCACGATTTCAACTTCATGAGTTCACGATTTCAACTTTGTGAATTCACAATTTCAACTTTGTGAATTCACGATTTCAACTTCATGAATTCACGATTTCAACATTATGAATCCACGATTTCAACTTCATAAAGTTGAAATCGTGAATTCATGAAGTTAAAATCGTGAATTCACGAAGTTGAATTCGTGAAGTTGAAATCGTGAATTCATGAAGTTGAAATCGTGAATTCATAAAGTTGAATTCGTGAAGATGAAATCGTGAATTCATGGAGTTGAAATCGCGAATTCGCGAAGTTGAAATCGTGAATTCATGAAGTTGAAATCGTGCATTCTTGAAGTTGAAGTCTTGAATTTATGAAGCTGAAGTCGTGAATTCGTGAATTCCGTATGTTGAAAAAGGGAATTCACGAAGTTTAAATTGTGAATTCATGAAGATGAACACGGGAATTCATGAAGCTATAGTTGAATTCGTGAAGTTGAAATCGTGAATTCATGGAATTGAAATCGCGAATTCGCGAAGTTGAAATCGTGAATTCATAAGTTGAAATCGTGAATTCATGAAGTTGAATTCGTGAAGTTGAAATCGTAAATTCATGGGGTTGAAATCGCGAATTCGCGAAGTTGAAATCGTAAATTCATGAAGTTGAAATCGTGAATTCTTGAAGTTGAAGTCGTGAATTTACGAAGCTGAATTCGTGAATTCCTGAATTCCGTATGTTGAAAAAGGGAATTCACGAAGTTTTAAAATGGCCCTACCTGTCTTTCGTACAAAGCAGACGACAATATATTTAGTGATGCGCACTAGTAGTAAGTTACTCGCCGACAGTTCACGCAGTCATCATGGAGACAAAACGCTTAACTTTAATCTTGAGTTTTCTTTTTATCATGGGAAATATTGTTCGAGATGTCAAAACTTTCAGGAAATTCATGGACAGAGGCCTCTTGGACGAGTATATCTGTCCGATAGATGTGCAGCTTTTCCATGAAGAGAAGATGAACAAAATACAATGCCTGTCGCTTTGTGCTGATAATTCCTCGTGTAGTGTCGTGTTGCACGACAAAGTTAGCCAGCAATGTGTTGGTTGCAGTGTCCCGTTTTTTAATGAAACACGCCAAGTGATGAAAGGAATGTATTTTAAAAGATATTTTCACCATAGTAAGTCATTACGCCATCTTTAAAACATTTCTTAGCTATAATTTCTTCATACAGCTTCGAAATCGGGATTAATATTTTTCTTATTTTTTTTTAAATTCGTACACTTTCTTGACTGTATGGAAAATATTGTACATTTTACTACAACACACTAGATTAGTTTATATTCACTCTCGAATCCGTTCCTGAAACCAACAAACCAGTACTAAGCAATTAGGATAAAGTTTCTTCCTCGCGGAAACAATGACTTTCCCTTAACAGAGATCGAACCCATGCGATTAACAGCCCTTAAATCACTGTCCGGCAAGTTAACCACTCGACCACGCCGCAACACTTATTTGCAGTTATTTGCTGCGCTCTTTCCTAGTATAAATGAAGTTTAAGTTTATACTTTAAGTTGCAGTATTATATGTATTGATAATTATTGTAAAGTAAGCTACAAAGAACGTCATATGACCCCTGTAACACATCCTATGGTAAAAACGTTAGAAATAGGAGTTTATAAAATCGGCTATTGATTGGATATTTTGAAAAGCAGAATAAAAATAATTTTATTTCATTTCAGAGTATACGGTTGTAACAGAATTCAAGACATATGACCAAGCGAAGGTGAGTACCTTTATTCTTAACATATCTTTTATTTAAAACATTTCAAGGAAGTACTGTAAGACTGTACTGTTACTTTTTGAAATGTTACTCAGAATACTCTGGTAACTGCCATTTTATGGATACAGATTATTGGAAATGAGATTTAAGGAACGTCGTCAAAATTATGATTGAAGATTGATAAATTGTCAGACCAAGATTCGTTTTTAATGACTCCTAGATTTTCTTTCAGAACTTCATAATAGTTTGTTAATACTTGTGTTTTGATACACATTTGCAAAAGGCAACCCCACGTTTTATAATGTTTAAAAATAGATTTATAGCATGCTAGATTCTTATTACATAAAAAAGCGCTAAATGAGCAAGATTCTAAATTGTTCGGCTTTATGGCCAATTTGAAACGTTTTGGAAACTGTACGAGCACTGGGTACTAAAAAAAATCTAAAAAAATCGAAATTAAAGCATCAATCAAAACAATGTATATACTAATTCACTTTTCATTACTAATTAACTTATCAATATTATGCATATTTTCACTTCAAACTTAAGGCTAATATGAAGTTCATGCAGCGCGGCATTATGAACATAAAACAAGGCCATTATGAAAAAAGTACGGCCTTTAAGAGAAAACTCGGCTATTATGAGATTTGAGAATTTTGATTGGCTCTCCAGCTCGGCCATTATGAATCTGCTTTTTTTCATTGAAAAAAGTCGCCATTTTGAATTGCTGCAAGGTAGGTTTCCGAGACATTTTTAAAACAAGAATCTCATTTGCAATACCTCACAACAACGGAATTTTACATTAGTTATTTTTTGTTAACTAAGTACTTAACATTTTTTTGATTATGTGTAGTTAATTATAGTTAAGTGTTTTCATAATGGCCTTGTTATGAGGCTTTGGTCTCAGGCTAACATGACAGTCTAATAAACATTATACATTATACATGTTATAATAACTACATTTTTTTCAAGGCACACTGTCAAGAGATCGGAGCACATTTAGCGTACATAAATTCAAAGGATGAACTGTTGATTATCATAAAGCTAGTAATTGGAGGTAATTGTTTCTTTTTATATCAAATATCCCACTAATTGTTAAAATTATTATAGATAATACACGTGGAAATTGAAGTTACTCACTCACTCTCTCCCCTCTCTCTCTCTCTCTCTCTCTCTCTCTCTCTCTCTCTCTCTCGCGCCGTGTTCCTTGTTTCCCTGCTCAAAAGGTATAGAGCGTGTAACTGTAAATAGGGCTCCCGCACGTCGCAGATCACGACATCCTTTCAGGGTCTTTAGCACTGTAGAGTGAAATCAACTAGTACTGGTGTGGTAAACTGCTTGATATATAGCTAGTCCAGGAACGATGCGGTTATCGATTTGTGCTCTTGTAAATTAATGTGGCTTACTGCCGTGGTCCGGAGTGAAAACTACCACCACCACCACTGTCAATTGTAATTGGTAAATCAGCGTAGGGGAGTAAAACTTTATTACGAAACATTATGACATTATGCCCATCTAAGGGTATACAGTAACGTGAGTGAGATGGCGAAATTCAGGATAAGTTCTCATTTTGCCATAATTCCTTTCAAATTAATACCTTTCATCGCGTAAACGATTAATAATTTACATGGCCCAATGAATTTCTGTAATTATTGGTCGGAATTTACTTCAGTGTATAAAAAGAGTGTGGCAGTCTATATGACAGACAGATGTATAAATATTATATCCGAGACATTTCTTTATACCAACTGTTAGTCAATCACCATTTAAATAGTCGATCATTTAAAATATACAGGCGATTCTAGGATTTGAAAACTGTATCGATATAAAACAGTACAGTTTTTGTTTTTCACACGATTCATATAGAAAAAAACTCAATTGATATATTATAACAATACCTGCTATATATCGGTTGAGTTTTTTTTACGGAGGATCAAAGAGGGCATAGGGTCAAAGAGGGCATGGGGTAACACATTCAAAATACAAAAATAAGAGAAGAGAAAAGGAGCCGGTTTAACCGGGTGATGCTCCCCGACCAGGCGTCTGACACAGAGAAACAGAGAAACTTCTTTGATATCTGTTGTGGTTTCAGAGTTATGTCCCGTACAAAGTTCAGTGTAAAAATAAACAAAGGGCAATAACTCCATTTTAGGCAAGGCAGAGTTGCGTTTCTTTTGCGAAGCACATCTACCAAATGAGATCTATCTATCTGCAATGTTTCTTGTTGATACTTCTTGTGATTTCAGATTTATGTCCCGGGCAATTTTCAATGTGTAAAAATGAACAGAGGACAATAACTCTAAAATAAGGCTCGGCAAAGTTACGATTCTTTTACATTGCACATATACCAAATGAGGTTTATCTACCTACAAAGTGTTTTGTTGATATCTCTTATAGTTTGAAGAGTATTGTCCCGGACAAAGTTTACAGTGTAAAATAAACAAAGGGCAGCCACTCCAAAATTAAGCAAGGCAGATTTTTTTTGTACAAAACGAGAGCTTCTTAAGTTATGATATAAAGAAAAATAAAAGAGAAGTAGGGGGAATTAATTATTTTTGTCTGTTTGGGTTTAATTAAGCATGATCACTAACGAAAGTAATAAATGCAAGCTATCGTCAGTCAACGCCTTTCCGCCACCTTCTAGCACTTTCTTAAGCAGAATTTAACATTTTAACGTAGAAAATGTTCATGTTTTGTTGTTGTTGTTTTTTTTTACTTTGTAACATTGCATAACAGGATTTATCACACACCCGTGCCGATTTTGCGACTCCGTAAATATGGTATTGCACGGCCGTGCATATATTTTGACGTGACGTCATTAGCGTTATACAAACATAGTGTAAAGACGCGCTAAATGTTAGCGTTATACTATAGGCGCGTCAATGAAAAATGACTCTTATTTCACTTTAAACGGTCTTTATTTTGGGTATGTGATAAATAGAATATTAAATTCGTGTAAGTTTATTACTGAATTTATTGCACTCGTTGAATAAAATAATATTATGCTCGCCAGAGGCTCGCATAATATGATTTTATTCAACTCGTGCAATAAATTCAGTATTGAACTTACACTCATTCAATATCCTCTATATCTCAGTCGACCATAATTATGTACGAGTTTATGACATACCTTACACATGAAACACAAATAGTATGAATGTGAAAGCTGTTTATTAAAGTCATCATTTTCCATGTATAATTTGAAGACAGATCTACATTTAATTGCATGCATATTATTTCAGCGTACACCAGTAATCTTTGGATAGGAGCATCCCGAAGGAGTGATGGTGTAATTTATTGGGAGGACAACACGACTGTGGCAATGCCATCTACCGGTATGGCAACGGTCATGACATATACCGATATGGCAACGGTCATGACATATACCGATATGGCAACGGTCATGACATATACCGATATGGCAACGGTCATGACATATACCGATATGACAACGGTCATGACACCAACCGGCGACAATTACGAGAACTGGGCAGACGGCGAACCGAATGCGCTATTGGGGGAAGACTGTATCATACTGCATTATCCCAGTCAATGGACCTGGCATGATGACAACTGTGATTATCTTCATCTTAGTTTATGCGAATTTTAAGAAGTGAATATTAACCCTTAACCTGCTGGAAACCGGAAGTGGTTCGCCTTTGCCACCAGTAAAGATCTAGATCGTCCTGCACACACGTGTAATCTGAATAGGTCCAATACTATTGGTAGCCTTTTTGATATTGAAATACCTTAAACTTTGAAACAACCCTTTCAAATCCAAAAAAGAGCATATCCTTTAAACCAGTACTGCCGCAGGTTAAGGGTTAGATTGGCTTAAATATACGCACTTGGCGTAAAGACAAAAAAATGTGCCGCTGAACTGTAAGATGCTTATAGTATATAAATATGTGTTTGCCGCTTGAACATGTGTAATAATGTTAAACCTTCGCAGAGCAACACAATTTGGGAGTCAAAGAATTCGGTCATTGCTATATAGGTGTTAAATTCATTGTGAAATATTATTTTGAGAATAATTGATATCTTTTTTTGTACTTGCTGATCGCAGATCAGGAAATACAATGCTGACATTCAATCTCTGGCACAGAATTTCACGACAAACCTAACAACAGGTAGTTCTCAAAACAGCTTAAAACTAGCGATGTAAAAGAAAGATATATAGTTTTATTTTGTTACAAGTATCTAACAAATTACAACGCATTTAAAGTTTAAAAGTAGCATTGGCTTATAAAATTGTCAATAAACGCACAATCACAAATTACGCGGATGAATATCTTTATCAATAAAAATGCTATTTTTAGCGATGTCGATTACCGAATACTTCAAAGCGTAGTATTTTTATCTGTGAAAAGAAGATTGCTCTGCAAAGGTTTCGCTGATAATATTTTTTTATTTTTGTAAAAATATATGATAAATATAAATCACAAGATCACCCTTGAACTGATATATTCCATTTTAATGTTAAGGATTAAGAAAACTAACACACTAAGGAATCGGTAAATATCGACTAATGTCGGGAAAAGTCGTAAAAACCCGAAGTCGCTCTCGCCTTTTTCGACAACGCGTGTATTTTTTCCGCTGTGACGTCATTATTTTAGGAAGTACCAATATGGCGACTGCGGTTTTTCATCCTGATTAAATGTAATGAAGACTGAAAAATATAGTAATCTTTATGTAAATGTAACAACGGCAATCTTTCATTATACTTCATTTTAATCAGTAAGTTTTGCTTAAGATAAAAAAAATTGTCAATAGTATATTTAGATGATGTTATTGTTGTTGTAACTCGTCACCTTAATGCAAGAACTCAATATCTGCTTCTTTATCTATATGCAGTTATTGAGTTTTTGCATTAAGGTGACGTGTTGTTAGTGTTGTTTCTGGTAATGCTACTTTTGCACATTATTGCTTTCATTCTAAATGTCCAGTTAGCATGTAATAAGTTTGAGTGTCTTTTTTAATTTATCAAAAGTAAAGAAATTTCACATAAACTTTAAATTTTTTGTTAACTGATTTTGGCATGGTCAATTGCTTTTATAAACAAGTATCGGCTTCTTATCAAATCATTTAAATAACAATTGTATGTCAAAAAATATTTGCCACAAAATTACGAATATTAAAACTTTGTAGATATAGGTGGGGGGCTTGGCGGGGGCAAAACAAACAAACACAAATCGAAATAGAATTTTATATTCAGAAAATTAATACCAAAACGTGACCTTTTTGATCTCATTTCGAAACCTGTATGTAATTTGTATTTTCCTTTGACAAATGGCAAAAATATCACCAAATAGGCAATAGACTCGTCATTCATATTCTGAAATACCAAAGTTTTACTTGTTTTATCTTAAGATAACCTTGTATGACGTTGCATTTAAAAAATAATATTTTTCTGAATGGATGTGGATGGATGGATAGATGGATTTTTTTATATACATGTATTTATAAGATCTTCAGTATGTGTATTTCAAGGCGAAAATATTATGGCGCGATAAAGTAAGAAATGCCCTGAGAGAGAAGCAGTTGCTTGAAAATGTCATTTCAATAAAAAACGACATACTAGCAGGAATATTTATGTACATGTACATAGTTAGAATATACGAAATGCACATACAGATGATCAACATTTTACAGTTCAAGCGAACTGTCGTGACCTTTGGAAAAAATATAAAGGTCAGGGTCATTTTCTTTGCATGTTTGCTTAATCTTTTGCTACGATTTTATTCGAAATCCATTTTTAAAACCCAGATGCGTTCTACTAAAGCACTTGCTGTTTGTGGCTGTTCGTAATGCAATAATAAGATACATGTATGCGAGCCCAATTGACTTTTGGACAAATTGCCTAAAAAATGTTTAAAGGCACCGACTCATGTAGTTATTTTATACCATTTTAAAACTAAATGGATTATGAAATATTTTGCAGAAATCATTATATGTTACCAACTGTGTGTCTATCTGATTTTCCATTATCTTTTCCATACTGTTTCAGTCGTTTGAAACGTTCTGGGACCGTACTCTTAAAGCTCCTTAGTTTCTAAGGGAAAATTTACTTAGAAAAAAAAGTACATTTAGTTAAAAAATCACTTACATGTTGGAGTGAAAAATCACTTAAGTAAGTTCTCAGGTAAAAACTACCTTAAGTTTACTCCTAGGGTAAAAATTTCGTTCAAAAGCAGTTTCTTTTTTTGTAAATACCGATTGGCAAGCACTGACGATGCTAAAATTGTGACAAAAACAAGATGGTGGACCAGGTGAAGGAAACGTTCTAAACAATCAATTTGAAAAAGGTTAACCATGGAAAATCAGACAGGCTTGTATTAAATAATCTATAAATGTCACTCTTGTTAATTTAGCTATAGACTCAAACTTCTTGGGTGTAAAAAAAGTACATTACAAATAAAAATAAGGCTGTACATGTATACTGGCTTTATTTTTTGTTTCAAATTCTACAAAATGAATAAAAATTCCTACATTCAATACAAATATTTACAACTTAATTTATTTACATATTAAATACAGTACTGCCCAAAAATATTGCACAAATGGATTTTTACAGTACGCAAAAAATGTAAATGAGAAGCCCTAGTTATTTTACATTTAAGTTTTTCAGGGTTGTAATTACAGTTTTCGTGTACCAATTCTTAAGAGAAAACTAGATTATATTTAACCAATTGATAATAAAACTGTAAACTGTTGACAAGCATTGATAATCGATGGCTAAATCTTGCGGGCAACGATTCACAATGTTTATGCCTTTTGAGAACACCTCTTTTTGACTATACTTATGTATTTATTACAATACTGAATTCTTCTGGACGAGAACTCAACTGTCAGCACTATATTTGACCACTTGTACGTACTTTTTTTACCCAAGCTGGATGAAAACGAGGCTAACTTGATAAGAATAGATCCAATAAAGATTTCTATTAGAACAACACGTGGTGCAATCGCTAAAAGTGCATTGGTTATATCTCGTAAAATGTGAAATACAAGTATATATACGACTTCTTAATCCACGAGACTTACCTGCAGCCGATATATAGTCGTCAATCTTTCCTGTTCTGATCCGCCATTTTGGGCATTGGACACTACAAGGTAGTGGTCATCTCCTAACATAAAGTGTTCCCAGTCAATCGCACTAGAAATTGTAGAAGAATAAAGGTATGAATAATATACGAGGTGTTATAGAACTAAACCTCCCACGTGTAGAATAAAATACTAGTACATGTAGCATAAAATAAACAATTTGGACAATCCTCATGTAATACTTGTTTGGAGTACAGGAACAATTTGGAAACACTGTTGAACTAGTATGAAAGGCAGTAAATAAAAAACTTTATTGAACTAGTATAAAACTCAGTAAATAAATAAAATTGTTGAACTAGTATGAAACTCTGTAAATAAATAACTATGTTGAACAAGTATGAAACGCAGTAAATAAATAACTTTGTTGAACTAGTATGAAACTCAGTAAATAAATACAATGCTGAAATAGTATGAAACGCAGTAGATGAATAACTATGTTGAAAAAGTATGAAACGCAGTAAATACATAACTATGCTGAACTAGTTTGAAACGCAGTAAATACATAACTATGCTGAACTAGTTTGAAACGCAGTAAATAAATAACTATGTTGAAAAAGTATGAAACGCAGTAAATACATAACTATGCTGAACTAGTTTGAAACGCAGTAAATACATAACTATGCTGAACTAGTTTGAAACGCAGTAAATAAATAATTATGTTGAAAAAGTATGAAACGCAGTAAATACATAACTATGCTGAACTAGTATGAAACGCAGTAAATAAATAACTATCTAGAAATCGTGATATAACACAACAGTTTGTAAAATACTAGAATATTGAACAGTAAACCATCAATTCTTTTATTTGGTGTTAACGTCGCACAGTGTAGGTCAAATGGCAACTTTCCAGCTTTACTGGTGAATGAAGACCTAAAGTGCCACTCTGTATATTATATCTGGCACAAACAGGTACCTGAATAGAACCACTGTTATTCGTAGGCTTGCTTGCTTGATAGCTTTCTCATGTACAAAATCCAAAGACAATGGTCAAAGGCAACAGGTTTGAGGTCAATGACCTAAACCACTCGCCTACAGACGCCCTAAACCGTCAAAGGTCACCCATTTATGCAACACGAAAATACGCAGAAACTAGATACCGTTTTCCGGAAAAAAAATCGGGTGCTTAAAAAATTGCTTGTGACAGCTTACCTGTTCGTTACAAAGGTCTGATATTTAAAGAACGCTCGTTTTCCTATATCCAGTTTATATATAGACGAGTTTGTCTGGTAGGTGTCCTGATTTTGAAAGTTCTGAGGTCCGTAATTGTACGCATTGGCAACGGCGAGAAATGCTTCATCTGCTATGGTGAAAAATTCCCAGTCGGTGGCACCGTTTGTCTAGACGAAAATAAAAAAAAAAAACATAAAAAATATACTCTTTACATAAGGAACAAAATTACAAAATATTTGGTAATACAAATCTTGTTTGAACAATCTTTAAGTGAGTTTTAAACAAGCGTGCTTTCCGAAAGATTTATATTTAGTTTGCAATCAGTAGAAAGAGTAATTAGTTTAATTTAATAAAGCACGTACACGTTTCTGTACTTTTTATAGACATGATGACTCCTCAAAGAGTAAATACATAAAAACTTTCTTTTATAATGCAACGAAAATTGGGAAAATGGGCAATATCACTTAAAGGATAATACTGACCTCGATTGTTTGAAAGGGAAGGAACTTGTCCTTCTGAAAGACATATATAAAAGAGTCCATTAGAGTTATCTTTCCATTAAAAGCCTGAGCAATAGCTAGAAAATGGTACTCCTGCACTCTAAAGTATGTCCAATCGTATGCGCCGGTTGTTGTTATTGTCTGAAAATTCACAAACAGCCTTGCTGCCCTGTCCCATTTGAGAATAACGGAGTCAACCTCTTGGTTTGGTCCTTAAAATTCAATATACATGTATAAGTAAAGAGCGATGATTTTTCTTTAATTTTCGTCACACCAACACAATATAGGTAGTGTGGCGACTTTTCAAGCTATACTTGTGGAAGAAGACCTCAGGTGCCCTTACGTGCATTGAAGCTGGATAGCTTCATCAAATGTAAGAATCAAAAGTCCCTAGCGGGATTCAAACCCGCAGCGGTGAGGGGCGAATGATTTGTAGTCAACGACATTAACCACTCTGTTCCGGACGCGCAATGAAAAATAACTAAAACTATACCTTCTTTGCTTCTATGAAATTAAGCAAATTATGTTTTGGTAGGTTAAATTGTATACTATGAGTCAAAATATATATTCAATGTTCATTTGATAATTACATGTATCTAAATTCATAGATGGTGACAACTCAATTTCATAAACTCTTGTTGTTATGTCTGAGTAATGGCCCTTTAGTAAGCTTTTATCATGAAATATTATATAAATAAATATAATAATAATAAGCATATATTGTTAATCGGGTCATGCTATGTTTCAAACTAATAATAAATCAAATAAACGTTACTTCTGTTGGATTACATGATTAGCCCGTATAATTTTGCATAACCATTTATTCTGCCAAGGACTTTGCGGGAAAGGAACTGTGGGTATTTCATGATGTAAATGTGCAAAAACGGTGAGATTTTACCTGGATTTTTATATAAATCAAAAGGTACAATGCCCACTTATCAATGTTCCATGTTGTATGGTTACAAGTAAATTTTTAAAATTAAACTGGATCAAACCAGTATAATCATGATAATGGCTGTTCGCAGTCCCGGCTTTGGGTGACTGATTAACATGTTTCGTATTAAAGGTGCATGCACCGCTTCCGTTTTCAATCGAAATACCTCTGCCATTATTTTTAAGCCGAAAAGTTGCGATTTTTTTCCGTTATTGGAATATCCCGCCTGTTATCTTTGAGTTACATCAAAAATGGCGGCACCCAACTAAAATGACACTTAAATTGATGGGCATAGAAATCTATATATATTTAAACCTTTTTAATGTGATTTCCCTAATATGAAAAAGGTAAAGCCTCAAAACGAACTCGATTTACTTTTTACCGTGAAAAGAGTATAAGATAATCGTTCATTTTTATTTAACATTTTCCGTTTTAAAATTGTCATTCGGTATTTTATACACTGCATCCGTTTATCCTGGTTTACTGTCCAATTATAATTCCGATATAAGTGTGCAGGACAAGTCTACGCTTCAGTTTTCAATAAAAATACCTCGGTTTTTATCGTTACCTTGTAATTCGAAAAGTTGCGATGTGTCGGTTCAGTACTTCGGACAAAACGTTTCAAAACCCAATCGCAACTGCTCGGCCCTTTCCGTCAGTCTTCGGACACCATAGTATGAATTCACAAAACGGATGCGGTATTTCGGTCTATCCTACGCTAAGAAACTAAACATGTTAACAAATAGTAATTTAATGCTTGGAGTTGTTGACAAGTTTATTTCCAATAAATGTAGTAAATGTAGTCCACCTAATATAAGCGAATTCATAGGTACAATAGTAAACAATACATTATTTATATATTTATTATATTGGTTGTAGAAATTGAAAGTGCAAAAACCAACCTATTGACATTTAGTCGGATTTGTTTAAAATTGAACATCAGTGGGCATTCTTAAATTGCAAATTGTTGTCAGACATATTTTCAAGCATAAGAGTAACGGCACACACATTAGATTAAATTTAGGTTATTATAGATAATAGGTGATGCAGTTCCGAATGTTCAAAACCATCACTATCTAGCAGGAACTCACGTTACCGTAAAGCTCGCTTTGCAAGCAGGCCCTCCGGGCTGGCTTCTTGAGTTCGCCTCAAAGCGAGCTCGATTTTCTTTTACCATGAGATAGTTTAAAATAATCATTCATTTTTATTTTACATTTTCCGTTTTAAAATTGTCATTCGGTATTTTATACACTGCTCCTGTTTATTCTGGTTCCCCCTTTCTATTACATCGGCTTTTATCTATCTTGTAATTCGAAAGTTGCGACGTGTCCAATTCAGTACTTCGGACGAAAGTTTTCAAAACCATAACTTAGCAGGTACTCGCGTTACCGTGAAGCTCGCTTTGCGAGCAGGCTTTTCGGGCCAGCTCGTCGAGCTCGTTATTAAATATACACATGTAGTCTATAGCCGGACAAACCAAAACTTTTGCCCGCTTCACGGACCCGGCCTTTGACTTCCCCGTATTAATAATGTTAGGTATTATTTTACATAAACATACCTATAGCATGGTTTGCAATGGCCAGGTTATGCTCATTATCAATTGTGAAGTATTCCATATCACGTGCTGTGTAGGTCCCGATCGCTTGAAATTCACGGAACTTCTGGCGGTGTCGATGCCATTTAAAGATCGTGGAATTCGTAAGTTTGCTTGTGTCGTTTCCATAATTAGCCACGGCAAGATAAAACTGGTAAAAAAATAATAGATAATTAGTCCATTTCTATGCAATTGGTATGTTTATCAAATAAGACTAAACAAGCTCATATAGTAACAAACGTTGAAAATATCTAGGATATTAAAACATGCAATCAATACTATATTCATTTTTTAAAAAGAACCCATTCGATAAAAGAATAATTTCCACAAATTAAGATGCAAGTCGCATTGATTTGATATATATTTAATGTTTAATATCTTCATATATTTAATCTTGTTATTCATGCAATAAAATATTCATATCTATTTTTTTTATCTAATTTTATAACTGTACAATAAAACAAAAATAAATTGTTTTTCTTTATATATGGATACTATATTGCAATTAAACATTTATTAGGTCAAATCTATGCGACTAGCACCTTTCATTCCAACCTGCAAAATATCCCATTCTTTTCAACCGGATTTGTTAGACATTTTAGATTTTTATAGAACTGCATTAAGCAAAGTATAAAATTCATAAAATAAGCCAATCTATTAAGGACGTCTATAAAAGCCTATCACCATGGGTTTTTTCTGATTGACTTTATTCCCTGAGGCGAGAACTGGGTTCGCTTTTCCGTTAAGAAAACCTTAACAGGCCCATTAACGTCGGTTTCGTCGGCTTGACTTTAATACCGAAGGCTAGAACTGAAAAGGCCTGTCCCAGAGGTTGGAACCGGGTTTGCTTTTCCGTTTTGGGCATCTAAAACGCCGAGCATCGACGGTTTAATCAGCTTGACTTGATACCCTGATGCTATAACCAGGCTAGGTTTTCTGTTACGAATATGTAAAAAATCCTATCAGAAGGGATTACATGTTCTTCTGGTGCCGATTTTCATATTACGCTGTTCGATTTCGCACCGTTTTATTGCTAAGATAAAGAAATCATTTAACAAATGAAATAATGAGAAAAAATATTTTATCTAGATTTTAACAATAAAAACTAACATGTGGACTGGATTTGATTGTGTTTACATCAGTGCTCGATTAATCACTATGACGTCAATGAATGAGTTGGATACTTATCATGACGTTGTTACGGGATCTTTTTCAGTCTAGGAAAAAGAAAGGTTACAAGGTATCAAGTCTTGAGAATATGGTGTATGTTTAAGGGCAGATACTCGTTTTTAGCGCAAAAAAGAAGATTTAGTAGCACTTTTGTGTGCAGGAGCGATGGCACGCAGAACATGCAGGCCTTTCATAATTTGTACCAGTTGAAGGACGAATCTTATTGAAGTGTTTTACAAATTTTCGTATCATGACATCTCTGAAGAATTGAATGGGAATTTGGACAACATTTACATGGGTAGTTAAAAACAGAAACAACATACATACTCGTAAATCACTCGAACAACAGTTTGGTGTCCCAAAATTCCTTCGACTTTGAAATTGTAGCCCCATTCGCATAGTGACGCAGCTGCCGGAAAGCCTTAGATAATTTTGAATTTTGAAATTCTACTAATAAAAACTGATTTGTGATTTTATCGGTGTAATTTTAATGTTAAATATTATATGGGAAAGTCCCCGACAGAACCGGCATAGGTCCAAATTATTATAACTAAGACTGACTAAAGTACCTTTACCTTATCGGCGCCACAAAGAGTTTTAAAGGGAGACACAGGCAAAATTTTCATTTCTTCGTTTTGAATTTCTCATTAACTAATCTGTAAATGTCCTTAAAATGCATACGCTAGGCAGTCTTAGGAACAAAAGTTTTCTCCTTATAAAGAATAAAGTGGTGGTTTCCTAACTTGACCCACGCGGGTCAGGTTAGAGCATAAAAAATTCACATTAGTTGTCACATTGACCTCTGGAAACGTTAACGAACATTCAAATGAATGACTTAGGTTTGTTTCAATCAAACAATATCCACAATGTCTGTTATTGTAACTTCCAGGGTTTGTTTAAGTCACATGACTTGTTTTATAACTACTTGGTGATCCTCTCGGCAGTGAAATTTCGTTCAACATATATAGATATATTTACGCATCAATCCCAAAATAAATAGAATTTTTACAGAAATTCATGCTGGGACTTTTACAAATGTCATTTTAGCGTCATTTGAGTACATAAGATTTTTTTTTTTTATTTTTGTCATTAATTTGCCTGAGTATCCCATCTAATATATATTCTGTTGTAAATAGTACATTTTTAAAATTTCCGATTAGTTATGATATCTCAAACTAGTACTGATATTAAAATCGCTAAAACTTTGAATGTACTATTCCAAATTCAAAGCTTGGCAAATCAATAAAATATTACAACATATTATTTTGCATGTTAACATAAATGTAAACAGAATTAGTGCATGTCTTCATTCAATATTCTAGGTGTTTTGTCAAAACAAAGCTCCCATTGTTCATATTTAATGCCGTACATTTTGCGCAGTCGGTTCCATATTATTTGAAATGCATATATTATAAATGCTTGTGCATAACAAATTTCGAAATTCTATGAAGTGGTAGCAAATCACCTCCTAAATGTATAGTTTCAATTCTTTACTGCTTGATTTTTCGATGGATAACCGCACAATTACAAATAAGCACTAGTTAATTAATGTTCAAATGAATTTAATTTATAGACAAAGCAGACGACAATATATTTAGTCATTCGCACTGGCTTGTTTGCAGTTAGTAACTTGCCGACAATTCGCGCAGTCATCATGGAGGCAAAACGCTTAACTTTAATCTTGAGTTTTCTTTTTATCATGGGAAATATTGTTCGAGCTAAGACAACTTTCAGGAAATTCACACAGGCAGCTGACTTGTACGATTCTGTTTGTTCGGCAGAGGACCAGCTTTTCCATGAAGAGAGGATGAGTAAAATGCAATGCCTGTCGCTTTGTGCTGAAAATTTCTCGTGTTTTGTCGTATTCCACGACAAAGTTAGCCAGCACTGTGTTGGTTGCAGAGTCTCGTACTTTTCTAGTACAGACCAATTGATGTATGGAATGCACTTTAAAAGATATTTTCACCATAGTAAGTCATTACGCCATCTTAATTAATAACATTTATTAGCAATAATTTCTTCGTACAGCTTAAAAATCGGTTGTTTTTTTTTAGAATTCTTACACTGTCTTGACTGTATGGAAACTATTGTACATTTGACTACAGTTTAGCTTATATGAATTTATTTAAGTGTGATTTTGTTGGAAGCTATTTAAACACTCTCGAATCCGTTCCTGAAACCAACAAACCAGTACTAAGCAATGAGGGTAAAGTTTCGTGCTCACGGAAACAACGGCTTTCTCTAACAGAGATCGAACCCATATGCGATCAAAAGCCCTTAAACCACTGGTCCGGCAAGTTAACCACTCGGCCACGCCGCAACAGTTATTTGAATTTATTAGTAGGGGAAAAAGTGTCAAACTTGTCTCCGCTGCGCAAAATCCTAGTGGAAATGAAGTTAAGTTTAATGAGAAATATAATTTCAAATAGATAAAACTCATTTCATTTCAGAGTATACGGTGGTTACTGAATTCAAGTCATATGACCAAGCGAAGGTGAGTTCCTCTATTCTTAACGGATCTTTTATTTAAAACTTTCAAGCAAGTGCTGTAAGGCTTTACTTTTACTTTTAAAAATGTTACTGTTCTCTAAATATGCACGTAACTGCCATTTTATGGATACGAATTCTTGAAAAAGAAATTGAAGGACTGTTGTCAATAATTGAAATTGAACAGTAATAAACTGTCATACCAAGATTCGTTTTGGATGACTTCTAGATTTTCTTTCAGAATTTCATAATATATTGTAAATACTAGTGTTTGAATACACATCATTCTGCAAAAAGCAACCCCACGTTTTATAATCTTTTAAAAATAGATTTACAGCATGCTAAATTCTTATTATATAAAGAAAAAAGCGCTGAATGAGCAAGACACTGTTCGGCTTTATAACCAATTCGTACCGGCCGTTTTTGGAAATTGTACCAGCACTGGGTACTCAAAAAAATCTAAAAAATCTAAATGAAAGCATCTTTAAGGCGTTCAATCACAACAATGTATAACTATAATTTTTATTACTAATTTACTTTTCATTATTTATTCACTTTTCAATATAAGGCATGTTTGCACTTCAAACTTACGGATAATATGAAGTTCAGCGCGGCAATGTGCACATAGAACAAAGCCGTAATGAAAAGAAGTACGGCCCTTATGAAAAAAAACTCGCCTATTATGAAATTTGAGGTTTTGTGGCCATTAAGAATCTGTCAATTATAGTTAAGTGTTTTCATAATGAACTTGTTATTGGGTTTGGTCTCAGGCTAATATGACTGTCTTATTAACACTATATAATACTAGTATGTAGTAATAACTATATTTTTTCAAGGCACGCTGTCAAGAGATGGGAGCACATTTAGCGTACATAAAGTCAAATGATGAACAGAATTTTATCGAGGAGCAAGTAATTGGAGGTAATTGTTTCTTTTTATATCAAATATCCCACTCACTTTCGTTGTGATTGACCACTAAATCCTTTCTAGGGTCCTTGTCCTTAGCACTGTAAAGAAGTAACCTCTTCCTGGCGAATGTGAAAGCAACTAGTACTGGTAAACTGCTTGATAGCTAGTCCAGGAACGATGCGGTTACCGAACTGTGCTCTTGTAAATTCAATGTGGCTTACTGCCGTGATCCGAAGTGAAAAACTGTCAATTGCAATTTTTTTTATATTTTTGCATTTTTTCGCCGTAGGTTCCATATCGATCGGGTCATTGAATTTCATGATAAGGAGCTATCAAGATTACAGAAGCATAAGGCCTTAGCTTTGTACACATTGTTATACATCTTGTTTCTGAAAAAATGCACAAGTTGTGTCTACTGGCATCCGCTCTGTATAGCTGCGAAGATGCAGTGGAACGTTACCATTTCCTAATCGCATGGCTTTGAGTTTTTTTCATTGTACTTTCTAACCCATTACATTCAGTACACTGATATTTACAATGTAATTGAATTAAATGCAAACAATCAAATCGGGAACATTACAAATTCCCCCACCCCCACCCCGAACGAAAGGTTTAGTTTAATTAAGCATAATCACTTACGAAAGCTATCGTCAGTCAACGCCTTTCCGCCACCTACTAGCACTTTCTTAACCCATTAGGTTATATACACGCCTTTTAACGTCTTTTTCATCCCCTTTTTGTTGTCTCAAATGGTGAAAATGCCTTATTTAGGCTGCGAACATTTGTTTTTGTTTGAGAAATGTTGTTAAAACATGTGACCTCTTTTTCGGCGCCCCCCCCCCCAACCAAAAGATACGTCAGTGGGTTGCCAGAAGGGGGATTTGCCCCTTCTGTTTGGGGGTTGGAAAGGGGCGGAGTCCCCCTCATCGCCAAGAAAATTTTGGACTTTTGAGAGGTTATAAATTACCCCAGATTGATCATAAGGTAACGTGTTACTAACGCTGAAAAGCATTTGACTATATCTCAATCCATTGAGAAGTTGCAGCACTTTGAAATCAATTTTGATGGAAAAATCAACGCAAAATAGTGAGTTTTGGCAATTTTGAGATGTCCCCTCGTTGCCATGGTAACATAAAATTTAAGCCTGAGCAAGTTGTTGCAAGGGAAATGGTCCAGTCAAAATTTGTGCCAAGTTTGATTCGTGCTGAAGCAGTTTTTAAAGTATTATAGTAATTTGAACTTGTTACGGGAGACTTTTCAATAAAAACAGCCATTTTTCACAAAATGCTCATGAAGTAATGGGTTAGGCAGAATTCAACATCTAAACGCAGAAAATGTTCGTTTTTCTTTTCTTTTTCTTCTTCTTTTTTTTAGATTTGGTAACATTTGCATAACAGGATAGCTCAGTCGGCCATAATTATGTACGCGTTCATGACAGACCTTATTCATGAAACACAAATAGAATGAATGTGAAAGCTGTTTATTTAAGTCATCATTTTTCATGTTTAATTTTAAAACTTTTTTACATTTAAGTGTATGCATATTATTTCAGCATTCACCAGTAATCTTTGGATAGGAGCATCCGGGAGTGATGGTGTCATTTACTGGGCGGACAACACGACTGTGGCCATGACATCTACCGTTGACAATTACGAGAACTGGGCAGACGGCGAACCAAATGCGCCATTTGGGGAAGACTGTGTCATACTGCATTATCCCTCTCGATGGACCTGGCATGATGACAACTGTGATTATGTTCATCTTAGTTTATGTGAATTTGAATAAGTGAATATTAACCTTTAACCTGCCGGCACCGGAAGTGATTCGCCATTGCCACCAGTAAAGATTCTAGGTCATCCTGTACACCCTATTATCTGAATAGGCCGGCTACAATTGATAGCCTTTTTGATATTTAAATCCTTTAAACTTTGATACAACTCTTTCAAATCTAAAAAACAGCATATCCCTTATTCATTGCTCTGTCGCAGGTTAAAGGTTGGATTGGCTTATATATACGCACTTAGCGTAAACACAAGTTGTTCCGCTGAACTGTAAGATGCTTATACATTGTAATATGAATGTGTGTTTGCCGCTTAAACATGTGTAATAATGTAAAACCTTCGCAGAGCAACACGATTTGAGAGTCAAAGAATTTGGTCATTGCTATAGGTGTTAAATTCATTGTGAAATATTATTTTGAGAATAATTGACATCGTTTTTTGTATTTTCTGATCGCAGATCAGGAAATACAATGCTGATATTCAATCTCTGGCAGAGAATTTCACGACAAACCTAACAACAAGTAGTTCTCAAAACAGCTTAGAACTAGCGATGTAAAAGAAAGATATAGTTTTATTTTGTTACAAGTATCAAACAAATTACAATGCATTCAAAGTTTAAAAGAAGCGTTGGCTTATAAAATGTCAAAAAAAACGCCCCAATCACAAATTCACGGATGAAAATTTTTTATCAATGGAAAAGCTTTTTTTTAGAGATACATTACCGAATTAATTTTAAACTTTGAATTTTACGTGAAAAAAAGGTTGCTTCAAGGGTTTTCGTTGTAAAAAAAAATATGTAAAATAAATAACCAAGATCACCCTGAACTGGGCTTTTCCTTTTAATGTTGGATTAAGAAATAGAACCCTAAGGAATAATATCAAAAAAAATGTCTGGAAAGCTTTAACCCGAAGCCGCGCTCGCCTATTTTGGCAAAGCGGTGTCCTTTTTCCTGGACTCATTGTTTTGGGAAAAAATTTCACCTGATTAAATGATAATGGAAACTAAAAAATAAAGTAATTTTTATGTAAATGTAACAATGGCAAACATTCGTAATACTTAATTTAATCAGTAAGTGTTGCTAAAGATAAAAAAAATTGTCAGTCGTATATTTAGATTTTGTTATTGTTGTTGTTGTTGTCGTTAGTGTTGTTTCTGGTTTATGCTACTTTAGACTAATTGTTTATTCTAGATGATCCAGTTTATGAATTGATAATAAGTTTGACTGTGTTTTTTAATTTAGCAAAAGTCAAGAAATTTCATATAACATTAAAATTTTTTGTTAAACTGATTTTGGCATGGTCAAAATATTTGTCACAAAAATTAACAGAATATAAACTTTGAGTATTAGGTGGGGGTTTGGCGGGGGGCAAAACAAACAAAAACAATCGAAATAAGAATTTTTATATTCAGAAAAAAATACCAAAACGTTGACCTTTTTGATCTCATTTCGAAACCTGTATTGTTAATTTGTTATTTTTCCTTTGACCCAAATGGCAAAAATTCACCAAATAGGCAATAACTCTCATTCATATTTGAATACCAAAGTGTTAACCATATTTTCTCTTAAAAAACCTTGTATGACGTTTGCCATTTAAAATATAATTTTTCTGGGTGGAGTGGATGGATGGGATTTTTTTTGGACTTTGATTTTTTATTACATTGTTTATTTTAGATCTTTCTATGGTATTTCAAGGCCAAAATAATTATGGCGCGAAAAAGTAGAAATGCCTGAGAGAGTAAGCAGATGGTTTTGAAAAAATGTCATTACAATTAAAAAACGACACACTAGCAGGAATATTTAGTACATTATACAGTTAGAATATAAGAAATGCACATACGATGATCAACATTTAACGGGTTCAGCGAACTGTTGACCTTTGGAAAAATATAAAGGTTCAGGGTCATTTTTTTGCATGTTTGCTAATCTTTTGCTACGATTTTA